TTTATTTTTTTGTATTCATAAAATTATATCATTTTGTCTATGATGTATTTTTTAGATATTTGTTATGTATTTTTTGATGTGTTGAATTTTATGTAGGTGACGTTTTCAATAATAAAGGAATATCTAATTTATAGGAAAGACCATGCTGAATTTTAATAAAAAAAATTAATAATATATTTTTAATGGAATTACTATTCATTTGTTATATTTGTTAAACTCGTGTTTAGGTGTTATTTTAAAGTTATGCCATGTGGATTGGAAAGATCCGGTAATGGTGCTAGTGGTCATGACTACGATGGCAACAATATACATGGATGTGGCACTACTAGCCAATGCTCGGGATCGTGGACTATATAGTGGTGCAAGCACATCGGCATCCCCTAACGTTGGGATGTTGGCATCCCCTGTTAATGTAGGTGCCTAAAATCCAATCTTTTTTGGGATGGTTTGATGTATTGTAACATTACATTTCTATATTAATAAAAGAAATCTTTCTATTAATTCTTGTTATTTATAATTTAATAGAATTAGATAGAAGTCCATATGATATACATTGCATTAATAATTAATCAAAAGATGTGAAACAAACATTAATGCATTTAAATGATATCATTAAATATCCCAAGTTGTAGCATTGTCAAGAATTGACATTGACTATATACGATAAAACTTATAAGTGCTATACTCTTGTTATAAGATAGTAGTAGAAGATCTCACATCTAGTAACATGATGATGTCAAAACAAGCACTTAGGTTATTAATGTTAGAGAACATATCAATGGATGTGACTTACCATGAGAACCCATTTGGTTTAGGCTATGAAAATCTCATATGAGATGGGTATAATTAGTCTTTTAACTTGAAGTCATCATGGTTATCTCATTAGAGAATTTATATACATTGACACTCGTTTCATGGGCTCAATCAAGAGCTACATATGGGTGATTTGTTGAGTGCATCGAAATTTAATGGACATAAGTGAATGATTAAAATATGATATGTTATTCTTTATATGTTAAAGGAGTTATTACATTGCACTTTGGTAAGTTTCACGCTCAAGAAATCTCTAGTTATAGTGAGAGTATGCTATTAGAGCATAGTTGATTTACTTTAGAATTAAGATATTTGGGAATAAAAAAAAACTTGTGTGGTCATAATCAAACGGACTATAAATTAAGTTCGAGATCATACTATGATAAATTGACATGAGGATCTGAATTGTATGGTAACCATACTTATGAAAGGTAATTATGAATTAATTAATCATTTTCGAGAATTGAATAGTTATGATACCTTGCTAGAGGTAATTTTAATTTATGTATCAAAAGATAAAAGAGATGTCTTTTATTCTTAATACATTGTCAACATATTTAAGAGTCCATTGAATCACATGTATAAATTTAATCATTCACACAATAAAAAAGAAGTAAAGATATTGAAAAAAGTTTATTGTTTTGAAAAGTTTTTGATTTTGGAAAGTTAGTTTCCTAAAATAGAAAGTCGATTTTCTATTTTAAAAATCGGTTTCTAATTTAGAATCAGTTCTAAGTTTGAAAGACAATTACCTAAAAAGAAAATTAGCTTTCTAATTTAGGTTTAAGGATAATTTAGAAAATTATTTCCTAATGTAAGCCTCCTAAAAATATATTACCTAATTTATTTGGATGGTCCAAATTAATTAGATCAAAAGAGTTTGGGCCAATAGGCTTAATTTAAAAGTATGCAAGATATTTTGATGAAAGGATAAATTTGAGCACTATTGGATAAAACTCGGGGTTTAAAAAGATAAGATTAGACAAAGCCCACATAGGCATTATCTCATTGACCTACAAAGAGAAGTTACTTGCTCCCTATATAAATAAAGGAGAGAGATGCGGCATTATTAAGCAACAAAAAGAGAAAACTCACGACATAAAGAAAAAAATAGAGAAATAATGTTTCTCTCCCTAAAAAGAAAAGGTTGTCGCATCTCTCCTTAAAAAGCCCAAAGTTAGCACAAATTACTCGATAAGATTTCTAGAGAAAAATTAACTACATATAAGAATTGGAGCTAGCACTCCGTGATTTTTTAGCTTCTTGTGTGGGTGTTTGAGCTACATGGATAGAGACTAGACACTTGAATGGTTCCTTTTTCGCGTGAATTGATTTCATGCTACAAAAGGTAATCATTCAACTATATTTATATTCATATTTATGTATGATTAGTTGATTCAATGACATAATCTTGAAAACCCTAAATGAAGAAAATTTTTTGTTTATTCCGCATCTTAATAGGATGCATGATCCTTCATCTCCGTCGGTGGTGCTTTTGCCGGTAATGCCCTCACCAATATTGCCCTAGGTCGTGTATGTCTCCATGATGGTTTCCTCGACTCCGGGAAGCTCAATTGAATCCGATTCTAGACAAACCATTTAAGTAATATGTTTTACATGTAGTAATTAATTTTATATTTTGATGTATTATATTATAATCATTAATTAATTGATTAATTAATTAATTTTTTGACGAGTTTGCCAACAATGCCCTCGCCAATATTGCCCTAGGTCGTGGATGTCTCCACGAGGGTTTCCTCGGCTCCGGGAAGCTCAAGTGAATCGATTCGGACAAACCATTCAAGTCATGAATAACTAGTAAGTAATATGTTTTACATGTAGTAATTAATTTTATATTTTGATGTATTATATTAGAATCATTAATTAATTAATTAATTAATTTGTTTGACAGTTTGGTTTTGTCAAGTAAATGCTCCATAAAAATCATCATAATTTTCAAGTAGTGGTTGGATGTCGTTGGCTCCACATGAAAGTCCGTCTCAATGAACACGAAAGACTTCTACTTTAATGAGTTTAGGATAACATATTAATTATTTTTTTATATTTCATTTAAAGTATTAATTTAATATGAAATGTGCTAATAATTTTTTTGTTCATATAGAACTACTTTTTATGAGATTCGATCATCGATGCACCGATTAAAGATGTGTGGGAGAGTCTTGCACGGAGACGGTATGATGATATCCTAAACAAGATAAAGAATAGGAATGATAGATCCATGTTTATTAAATAGTAGATGTGGGAAGCATGGCATCGAGATTGGGCCACACTTGAATTTTAGGTCCGATCTCAACAAGTATCTCGGAATCGTATGTCGAAGATAGGTGGTGTCGATGGTGGTCCATACAAGCATATGGAGGTCCATCTTTTTTATTGAGCATGTTGAACGTTTGGTAAATCTTATTATCCACTATATTATAAATTAATTTTTACATTTTATTATATCTTATATTATTTTATCTATTTTTTTAGCATAATAAATTAGATCGTAACCCAAATCCTCACGAGTTATTCGTGACCACTCAAAAGTGAAAAGATGAATAATTCGTTGACAAGCAATCCCGAGACGGTAATGGTAAGTTTTTTATTTTTATAAATATATATCTATCAATATAATCTAAAAAAAGATATTTATGAGTTATTATTACAATTAATTTAATGACACAAGAGCGCTCGTAGTCAAGCAAGACGCAATTGCAAAGGAGTGGCGAGGAGGGTGATTCATCATCTCTAAACATTGAGATTTTCAAGATATATTTGGATGACATATGAGGGAGAAGAATCGGAGAGTCTATGACCTTGGATCACATGTGTCGTAATATTACTCCCATTTTGGCGTCAACTTCTCTTCGTCACTTTGCGGTTTCCTAATGATAATAATCGGGAGATTTCGACGAGTACAAATATAGGATCAAGGGGATATAGATTACCATCCGCTACAAACCAGTTAAGTTAGCACCATACGAGTCGATTACAAACAATGATGGAGTTGTTACGAGACCTGCAGGCATACTCGCATCCCTTCTACTAACCCCTTCACAACCCGAAGTCGACCATTCTTCTTAATACATGATAGCCAAAAGATGATGCGGGAAATAATGAGGACTAGATTTCTTGTTTTGTTTTTTTTTAAGGTTTTTAATGTTTTCATACACCTTAACACAATTACATATTTATTTGATTTCAATTTATATTATTTTAATTTTATTAAATAAAATATTATGTTTTAATAAGATGTTATTTTTTGTTGTTTGTTACTCGCCATTAACATTAAATGACTTTTAATTTATATCAAAATTTTTTTCTCCATTTAGCATCGAAACTGCAAGAAACTTTAGCGAGAATAATTTAGAGATAAAATTTTCATCGCTAAATAGCTACAAAAATTGTGAATTACCAATTGTTTTGCGACAAATAAGAGACCCAGAAATGACTATTTACTACGCTTTAGTGACGAAGCTACAACGAGTTGCTAAATAGTGACAAATTTAGTGATGGATCCGCAAGGAACTTTAGCAAGAACAATTTAGTGACAGAAATAGCCAATAAACAATCGTTTTACGACAACTATGAGATTGAAGAGATGATTGTTTACTATACTTTGGGTACGAAAATTCTACGCATTAGTGATGGAATTTTTTCCTTTGTTAAAAAAATAGTTATAAAGACTTTTGCTACAGAACGATTGTTGTCGTAAATCCATTGCTAAGTACAAATAACGAAGGATTTTTACTATATAGCAACAAAAAAATCTGTCTCTATTTTTCAATTTCCTTGTAATGTTTATTTCTTTTCCATTCTTTCTTTGCGAGCTTAAATAAAGGACAAAATGTTCTTTTGATATATATACGACAGACTTTTGCTACAGAATATCTGTTGTCGTAAATCCATCGCTAAGTACAAATAGCGACGGATTTTTACTATATAACGATTCTATTTTTCAGTTTCCTTGTAATGTCTGTTTCTTTTCTATTCTTTCTTTGCGAGCTTGAATAAAGGACAAAATGTTCTTTTGATATACTATAGTAGCTCGCCACGTAAATAGAAAACTTGTTTGGATAAGGGCTTTCTTCTACTGAGGTCTTCGACATGCTCTTGCTCCGTCTGTAGATTTCGAGAGTGAAGGACGAGATGCGCAGTGCAAGTCGAGGGAGGTAGACAGAGCATCATTCAGACTCTCGGGCCATCGACAAGGGAAGTACGGATCCTTTTGTGCGAGACTGGCTTGTATATATATATATATACACGGACTTCATTTCTAAGCACCTGTGACATAATTTCATCAAATCTGCTGAGATCATATGTCATGGCTTTCAAATCAGTTGAATAATGACTATTCCAATATTAATTTTGATACTACAGGAATTTATTTATTTAGTTTTTACAAAAATACACTAACTAAGTTATAATAATAAATAATAAATTGAAGCACGTGCGTTTTCCTCGGGGTTAATTTTTTCTGTTATTTTTTTTAGAGAGTCCATGCAATGCGTCTCTGGGGGCATTAAAAGCTTCTATTAGTGACATCCCCAAGGATATGGCCAATCAATTCCATAAAAGGATAAATTTTCTTCCCAATAATTGATTGGTGTGATTTACATATTAAATTCAAAGGCTTTGGACACGATCAATCTATTTACAAATCCCACGCAAGTTTCCATTTTTAAGTCCTCCTAAATAATAGTGGTAGATTCTATAATCATTTACCAGAATCCACTCCTTCTCCTTCTGATCTCTTCTCATTGATTCCACACTCTCTACATCAAAACCCCCTCCTCAATCTCACTAACTTCTCTCTTAATCACCAAAATTCTCTTCATGTTTTTCCTCACTAGGAATCCTCCAAACACCTTCTGGAATTCGGATCTGCTCCTCTCTGACCCGGCATCACAGACTGGAATTGACACCACGTTCTTTGGAACATTGAGCGGCGTCGTTCTGTGTTGAACTGGCATTTGACAAGAAGACGAAGGGAGTTGTAGTAGTAGGGAGAGTGAGAAGGGTAGTTGTGGTGGATCTTGTAAAACGGAGTGGTTGTTTTGGCTGGGTTTAGGAATGGAGTGATTATTTGTTTGTTTGATATTTTCTGAACCTGGGCTACACCCATTTTGAGATTTTAGAGTTTGTCTTGTGTATGAAAAAGCTGATTTTGCAATAATAACAGTGGGGATGGGACAATTTTTTTCTATTTATTTTTAAAACCTAAATATTCATTTAATATTAAATTTTTTAATTTTTTTTTTTTTTTTAACTTTGATAGTATTCTATGACATTTGAGCTCATGCCATCGGAGGTCTATTCATAATTGATTATTATTAATTTTAAAATATTATATCAGATGAATATTAAACGAAGGGCCTAGACTAAGAAAAATTTTTAGATTAGAAAATTTTAATCAAATTAAAAAATTATAAATAGTCTTAATAATTTTTTTTTAATAATTTTAGTAGCATTGTGTAACACTTGGAGCTCATATTGTTATTTATTTATTCGTGATTGATTATTATTAATTTTAATATATTATGTTAGATGAATATTTAAGAAGGATCTGAATTAATAAATTTTTAATTAAATTAAAAAATTACATATGATATGAATAATTTAAAATATATAAAAACTAAATAAGAGATAAGCTCATTTTATAATAAAAATACAATCGTATGTATGTTCATAATTAATACATAAATATGTGAACCGTCCACATTCATCAGAAAATTGATATCGTAAATCATATCCCATCTTTATCTCTCTTAATCCAAAAATACTTAAAAAAATAAGTCATCCATGGTTCATGTTTATCTCATCAAAATCATCATCATCGTCATTTTTACAATAATAATATAAAGATTATCCACTTTGACCAATTTCTTATAAAAACAAGTATATCCAAGTGGGATAAAGTATAAACCATGGACCACACCAACCCATATAATGGCAATAGAGAAATTCTAACCATGTTTAAGGCCAACGTACAGATAAGATATATCCAAAACTAAAAACCTTAAAATTTCCATAATCTTGGAATCCAAAAGAGGTTTAAATAGAGTTAAATTACATTCATTCCTCACTTTCCATTTTCACAATAAGAGAAACGCATACCTGTCTCCATCATTCTTTGCTCTTTTTAATTTTTTATTACTCCTCTTGTCCAATCACAGTCACCTTTCTCTTTCTCTCTCTTTCTCAACTTTAAAAAAAAAAAAAAAAAGAAAAGAATTATGAAAATCATTCCTTTGTAAGTAAGTACAGAGAGATGGAGAGTTGTATAGGTTAGAAGGGTTGTGCTACTGAAGAAGAGTAACAAAATTCCCTCACTTCACCTTGTGTTTCTGTCTGTGTGTGTGTGTGTGTGTGTGTGTGTGTGTGTGACTGTGGAGAGCTAATTTGCAACAGCAGCTTTAACTGATCACCTTTGCTGACATTTTTTTTCAACAACTTCATTTAGGTACAACCTTTTTCTATCTCAAATTTTGATATTTTTTATTGCTCGATTAATGTGGATTTTTTTTTCCTTTATTGATATTGAGCAGCAATTTGGTCTTTTGAGGTAAAAAAGGAGTTGGGTTCTTTCCTTTTGGAGTTTGTTTGATGTTTTATGATTCCCCTCCCTCTTTCTCTCTATCTACCTACCTAACTCTTCTTGCTATTGGTAATGATTGGTGATGTCACTTTTACTTGGGGTAAATGGGTTTTGCTGTTTATTTTTATTATATTTTATTTTTTGGTAATTTTTATGGATTTTACATGTTCTGGGCTTAAGTTGATTGAATTAATTCCATATTGATGTTAGTTCCCTCTCAGCTCATAAAAAGGGAGTAACAGCTTTTATTGATCGAGGTAATATTGCCTTTTAGGACTTAAGTTGCATGCGAAAAATGGTCTTGTAATTGAATGTTCATATTCTTATGCTGTTTTAGAAGTTTGTTTTGCTGTTGGTGAAAAAAAGGGGAAATTCATGGGTTATTATTATTATTTTTTTATTTTTTATAACTCGGTAGAATTACTTTCTTCCTACTGGAGTTCAAGTGATTTCGGTGGCAATAATATTTTGGTTTCTTATGGTTTCTGTTGCGAAATTGATTTAATAGTCTTACTCAAGTCATCCATAAATGTCATATTTTCATGTCTGTAAATTCTTATACTTTTTGTCTTTGTATAGCAGAAGTTAATGATTTTTTTTGCTATTTTCGCTCTTTTATTTTTAGCAGAAAGGTGATGTGATGGAGCAATCTTCAAATAATTTATCTACTGGTAATTTAGTTGAAATCCTCTATGATGTTTCCAGGGATCAAAGTGCGTCTCTTTTAATTGATAAGTTTTGTAAATCATGCGTGGTAGGTTCTGCTACGATTCCATCATTGAATACACCTAAACAAATGGGAAGAGGTGCATGTGGGATGCTATCTGGATCTGAGACCTACCATGCCTCTGCCTCAAGCGATGCTACTCTTTTTTCTAGCTCATTACCTGTTCTACCACATGAAAAGTGTATGTGTTTGCCATTCTTTTAAGATCTATGTCATCATATAATGCTGTGGGATTTCTTACTTTTTGTGCTGACTTGCAGTGAACTTGAATGAGAAGGATCATGGTGATCAATCTGTTGATGATTCCTCTTCTAGTTTAGATAAACTTTGCCAAGATGTGAATGGTGGTGATATATTGGAAGATGTTGGAACTCATGTGATTGGTAGTTTGCTTCCAGATGATGAGGATGAGCTTTTAGCTGGCATAATGGATGATTTTGACCTGAGTAGGTTACCTGGTTCGCTGGAGGACTTAGAAGACTATGACCTTTTTGGTAGTGGTGGAGGCATGGAGCTAGAAAGTGATCCACAGGAGAACCTGAGCATGGATATATCAAAGCTGAATCTATCTGATGGGGTTGTTGGTAATGGGATTTCTCATTACAGTCTTCCAAATGGTGTGGGAACTGTTGCTGGAGAGCATCCATATGGTGAACATCCTTCAAGGACATTATTTGTTCGAAATATTAATAGTAATGTTGAAGATGTGGAACTGAAAACTCTTTTTGAGGTAAACATATTTATAGCATCTTTGTTACACACCCAAACTTAGCTTGCCAATTTCTTTGAATCAGGCATTTCCTTTAGGTTTGCAAATCTACATGATTCATGGATGAAGTTTTATCCAAACTTTCACTGGTCGATTTCCCTTTTGTTTTTTTTTACTTATAATCTAATGTGTTATTTGTAGTCATCGAGATATTGATTAGACTTTTCATGATTTAATCCATTAAAAAAGGAAAAGCAACAATAGGTTGACTGTGCATCTATTAGGATAGATCGTATTAGCAACTTGACATCAATAAGTTGGGGTTTTGGTTGCCTTCCTTTTCATTTGCAGTTGCCTTGATTTTAGAAATAGTTTGGCCATTGGTTGGACTGCCAAACCTTTCTGAGAACAATGTTGTACTCAATGCAGCAGTTCTAAACCCTATGCAAACATGTAGCATGCATGAGGCAGGGTATGGCACAAGAAATGAATAATATAATTGCAAAAATTGATGAATTCGATGCTAATCTCATTTGGAACTTCCAAAATTTCTGGTAAAGTACCGTCAACAGAATATACAAGAGTGTAATAGAATGGATAGCATATTTTCTTCCAAGTTGTGGTTTTTATTTTTATTTTTTATAAAAAAGGTGAAGAGGGTAAACCCCAGACCCATTGGAACTCTATCCTGCTAACTTATCTTCTTCTAAGTTGTTTGCATGTCAAATTTCTAGATATTAATATTTCGTGAATTTCATGTGCAAGTTATGGAGTACCTGGCCTGCTATTGGGGCTTGAGATAGGGTTTTCAAGATATTTTCAAGATTTTCATCTGAAGAATTGTGTTTCTGTCTCTCCTATCTGTTTGTTTTGTAGCAATTTGGAGACATTAGAACTCTATACACTTCATGTAAACATAGGGGTTTTGTAATGATCTCTTACTACGATATTCGTGCTGCTCGAACTGCTATGCGTGCATTGCAAAACAAGCCACTGCGTCGGAGGAAACTTGATATTCACTTCTCAATTCCAAAGGTTATAATAGACTTTAGCTAATATTTTCATTTTCAACTGTTGATACTGTAATCCTATTTTGTTTTTACATTCCCTTGCTTATGCCTTACCAGGATAATCCATCAGACAAGGACATTAACCAAGGAACTCTGGTTGTTTTTAATTTGGATCCATCAGTTTCAAATGAAGATCTGCGACAAATCTTTGGGGCTTATGGTGAGGTCAAAGAGGTGATTATCTACTCGTTTGATTGTTCCCTTGTTTCCCAAACCTGCATTTCTTTTGCAATAGATGGCTAACCTTTTGCACATATTTTATTTTCTTGGCAGATAAGGGAAACACCACACAAGAGGCACCATAAGTTCATTGAATTTTATGATGTGAGAGCAGCAGAGGCAGCACTTAAATCATTAAATAGAAGTGACATAGCTGGAAAACGCATAAAACTTGAACCAAGTCGCCCTGGTGGAGCTCGTAAAAAGTAAGTGCATTACAGTGCTATAACTTGTCAAGATTTGCATTCTCTTTTTTTAGTGTTATTTATTAAAATAAATGTCTGGCGGATGAACTGCATGTGCAAAATAAATTATGGTATTCTTGCATCAAAGAAATAAAAATAGCTAAAACAATATTCGCTTTAGGCTTGTCATCTTAGCCCATTTTGAGAATTTCCTGCTTATTCAAGTTAAACCTCTTCTCTTAACAAATTAGTCAACTGAGAGCATGTGTGATGTGTCAGAACCTTTGGGATAGAGCCAGTGAGAAGTACTCTAGCCACTAGGAGCTAAATTTGTTGATGCTTGTGCCATTTCTTCCCCTTCCTTTTTCGCTGCTGTTTGCAAAGGATCATTCTCATATTTTTATCAATATGCTTATTCTAATTATTATCCCATTCTCATTTTGTGCACTCCTGCTTTTCTTCACTTATATTTTTGGGGCTTTGGGGGCTTTATGGTAGGGAGGCCTGGAGTCTGGATTGCTGTACATTTCCAAAGTGTGGGTTTCTTTTTTTCATGTTATTATTTTTTATGTATCTTGGTGATTGAAATTATTGACTCTGTACCTTCTACCTCAGCTTGATGTTACAACTAAACCAAGAGCTTGAGCTAGATGACACTCGGAGTTTCCGCCATCCATTGGGTTCACCATTAACCAACTCTCCACCAGGTACGTTTGAGATTGTCTGAATGACCTGAGAACTATAAGTTATGATCATGTCTGAAATTTCTTATACAAGCTAAGTTAGTGAAATATGCATGACAGGTAACTGGGCACAGTTCAACAGTCCTATTGATCATAGTCCACTACAAAGCATCAATAGATCTCCTGTTTTGAGGAATATGAGCCCTACAAGTAGCAACCATTTATCTGGACTGGCTTCAGTTCTTCACCCTCAAGCATCCAACACCATGAGAATTGCAAACATCGGCAAAGAACAAGGAAGGGGTAATCTTGTGGAGCATACATTTATGAACATAACTTCATCTAGTGGAGCTGCCTTCCAGCAGTCACAATCGTTGCCTGAATTGAAGTTTAGTGAATATCATGGGAGTAGGTCGTCTTTTGGTCCTTCAACTTCCAATGCTTCTGTTGTGGAAACATTGTCTGGGCCACAGTTCCTCTGGGGAAGTCAGAAGGCATATTCAGAGCATACCACCTCTTCAGGCTGGCCAACCCAACCAGTGGCGCAACCGTTTTCATCCAATGGGAAGGGTGGCCATGGCTTTCCTTACTCAGGTCGGCGTGGTACTTTCCTTGGCTCATCCCTGCACCACCCACATCCCCATGTTGGATCTGCTCCATCTGGAGTTGCTTTCGAGAGGCACTTAGGGTTTTTACCAGAGTCAACAGAAACTTCATTCATATGTCCTGTTTCATTTGGAGGCATGGGTACAGGCCATAATGATGGAAATTTCATAATGAATATGAGTGGTCGTGATTCCATGAATACAGGTGTTACCATTCCTAGAAATGTGGCGGAAAATGGTCCTTCAAGTTATAGAATGATGTCTTCACCAAGGCCGTGTCCTGTGTTTTTAGGTAATGGTCCATACCCAGGACTGGCACCCCTCAACATTGAGGGTTTCAGTGATCGTGGGCGGATCAGATGGATTGAGAATAATGTGAACCATACTGATAGCAAGAAACAGTTTCAGCTCGACTTGGATAAGATTATCAGCGGTGAAGATACCCGAACGACCTTAATGATAAAAAATATTCCTAATAAGTATGGGTTCTCTCCTAGTTCCTGTGATCTACAAATTCCATAATTAGAGTGGTTAAAACATGTCTAATTAATTTCTTTCCTACTGTCATCCCTTAGATACACCTCAAAGATGTTGCTAGCCACCATTGATGAGAATCACAAGGGTACTTACGATTTTCTCTATTTACCAATAGATTTCAAGGTAATTATTTGGCCTCTGAAGTTTGGAAGATGATTTTATTATTATTATTAGTTTTTAATTCAATGACAATTGATAGACTTCCTTATGTGATACAGAATAAGTGCAATGTGGGCTACGCATTCATCAATATGTTGTCTCCTTCACATATTATTCCATTTTATGAGGTATATTTTCTTTACTTGTTTCAATAATTCATTGATCTTTCTTTGTGTTGTTATTTTGATCGTGAACAAATGTTGCAGTGTATCTAGTCAAGCCTTTATTCTTTTGTCACTCTTAAGAACTCTTAATTCTACTGAACAAATTCTATGTCGTGGCATATCTCAAAATTTCTTATCTTGCAAAATTTCTCATCCGGTATTGTATTTTGTGGGCACTTGTGCTGCAATTTCCTACAGGCAGTTAATGGTAAGAAATGGGAGAAGTTTAACAGTGAGAAAGTTGCTTCTTTGGCATATGCTCGGATCCAGGGAAAGGCAGCTCTTGTGACCCACTTCCAGACTTCAAGCTTGATGAATGAAGATAAACGCTGTCGCCCAATTCTCTTCCACTCAGAGTGGCAGGATGCAGGTGATCAGGTAACATAGTTCCATAAGGCAGTTGGAGTGTTGCAAGCTCGTAGCATCCTGCTATTTCAATTTATAGATGTTATGCCTTTTCATTTCTAGTCAAAGAACATAATTTGAAAAATAATATGTAGACTATTATTACTCTTTCACACACACACACGCTGCACGCGCACATGAATGCTTGCACTGCTGCAGTAATCTTGTCAGTCACGGGCTGCTTGCACCATAGATTTGGTTGGCATGACTGGTTTTTGTTTATATGTAGATCATCCAGGAGCATTTTCCCTCCAACAGTTTAAACATCCAGTTCCGTCAACCAGATGGGTCACACTCAGGAGATTCTCCAGAAAGCCTGGAGAGGATGGCTTTACGAAGAAGCTAGAGGAAAGTTAACATACGAAAGGAGATTTGCCTAGCCTGAGTTGCTGATTGATATGGTTCTAACTTTTGTGTATGTATTCAATTGTATAAAATTAGGAAGAGATGATCAGGGGAAAAAATCCATGCCGATTTTGTATAGTGTATCATAACAGCTTTTAAAGAAGCAACAGGAGCATTTTGGTCAATGTGTTGAGATATACATACTAGAAGGGAGGAGAATGGTGTAAATTAAGCTATGGCACAGAGATCTCTTGCTGCCGGGTGCACAAACTGCCTGTTCTCTGTCCCTGCTAGAGTCACTTTTGTTTTGTCATATGGTTTCCAACATTTAATCTGCAAATATGATGTGTACAAGGGGGTGAGGGTGAGAGTATTTTGAGGGTTGATTTTGTAACAAGGACGTTTACAGATTTGTATAGTGGATGAGACAGACTCTTTTTAGGTTAATGTTATTATAATTTAGAAACTTTATCATTAACTTCAATGTGTATCTGAAAACCAAAGACAGATGCTTGAACTTCTACTCTTGCTAAAACGCCCATGGATTCTTTGGTCTCAGTAAACAAAGATGGCAGTGACGTTGACGCAGCATGCTGGCACTCGGTTACAAGAAAATTAAGGATCACCTGAGTATTAAATGTTGATGACAAATTTGCATGTGAGATTACATTTTTATTGTTCTACGAGAAAAGTGCACAACCACAAAGCCAGTTTTCTAACATATTTCCCATGCGTTATCATTACCAACCACCGTTCCAACTTAGGAGCAAATCTTCCTTTGGTCTTGGTACCGATAACTAGGAACAAACGTTTATCCTCTGCATTATTATTTGTCAATGATGGCCACAAACGGTTGCTTAGGAAGTGTTAGTATTATAAAGTCGGCGTAAACGAGATCTGATTTTAGGCTTGGTAATTTTTTAAACTCATAAACACAGATCATGCTTGTAATGTATGTATAATATAAACATTCAAAGCAGCTTCATTTTTTAATTTTAAGAAACGTTAACTAAGCCTACACTATTTACAGAGCTCCATCGGCTGATCAAGCATCTTTCCATCAACACTCTTATTTAAATATAGATGTTGACGAACACTACTTTATGCGAAGTGCCAACTCAGAGAGCAGAAGCTTACATTGAGAGAGAAGAACCTGGAGCTTAACAAGAAATGAGGTCCGTCAAGAAATTACCATGGGACCTCAACGTCAAATCCACATTAGGGGCTTCTGAGCAAGAGTCAACTTGGCCCCATACGATACCCAAGAGAAGTTCTAGATGATGATAATATTAGGTCATTCTACTCGTCTGCTTGCAACCCCTTTGGTTTCGCTTTCTCTGATTGCAGTTCAAGGTCAATGACGAAGTAACATCTATCGTGTTCTCTTGTATACTGAACATGGCCATTCATCCGGTTGAGTAGTTTCAGAGACATGTTTAGCCTCTGACCTTCTAGTGTAGTCCATTGATTTCTTCCCTCAAATATTTCATCGATGAGAGCAGAAGGAAGTCCCTTACCTGGATGTGTCAGTCTACAAACAAAAGAGAACAACTTAGTCTGCATAAACACCTGAACGTCTCGCTAATTTTGTTTCGAAGTGAGTGCATGAATTGAAGTAAATGAGATGGCATTGCAGCTGCAAGCAAGGATTTTTTTTCCATGCTGCAAATTGAGTACTAAGACCAACATGTAGCATGCTTCTTATTTTCTTTTCAAGTGACAGTAATAGTAATTCAAGAAAACTATAAAATTGAAAAGCAAAAGCAAGACCATCTGCATGAAGTTGTTGACCTTGTTCTTCTGGAAAAAAAACTTTAGTTATTGATTACAGATTCTTTGCTCAAGCATAACAGTGTGATTTCCAAGTATCTTACATCACCTTGTTTGTATTTCACTTTCCAATTAGGTCACAGGATGGACAAGAGAAGTACTAGGAAAAATATAACATGCCATTGAAAAGTACGAAAACCAATCATAGTCGAGGAAAGTAAACCTAATTCCACACTGCAGAGTTTCCTTTTTACTTATTCAAGCTTCTATTAATCATTTGAAAGTTACTAGAAACGTTTTATACAAGATATAACCCCAATTTCCAAAGGAAGAGCTTAATCTTAAGAAAGTTAGGCTTATTAATTGTTTGAAGAATTAGCACATTAAGTAAATATGAGTATTTTTTACATCAAGCCAGGTTTTGTACAACTTGAATTAGGTTAACTAGAAACTAAATCCTTTTTGTTGGGCATGTAACCTGCATTTCTTAGTGAATCTAAGCCTGGGCTATATGTTCGCTTCCACTTCTATTTTCCATCTGATCTACTGCTAGCTCCTTAGGACATAAATCACTCAGAATACAACTTCTAAGATAATAAAAACATAACAAAACAGATTAGCATACTACAATCAATAAAAGAATTTAATATTTTTTGGTACCTGAACTGTAAACGGATAAATTCATTGCCATCCTGTATCAGCTTCAGACCGGGTGAAATCTTGATTTCTACCCAACCATTTGGAGAGGGTGCATGATGAACAACACTAAACAAGAAATCTGACAAGATCAGTTGAAGCTTTATCTGATCTCCATACAAAGATAGTGTCATGACCTCCTTTGGAATCTCATGGAGAAACTGTATGTTCTTTTCCCTCAGCAAGATAATTATTTGAGAGACAACGGCATCTAAAACATTTCCCAAAGGAAATTCTTCCATGTTGAGCTCCACGTTACTGCTATAACCATGATAAATTGGTGGATGGCTAGTGAGTTTGGTAACATAGGTTCGATGGCGTAATAAAGATGACTATTACATGACGAACAAGAGGGGTTTAGATTAGATATAGAATCTGAAGAAGGGATAGGCTAAGCAACAAAAATAGCTTAAGATAAAGGATTTGAAGCAATATATGTTCGCACAAATGATAAATGAACTAATAGATATTTACCAATTAAACAGATCAGTGAACATAACTGCATGAAACGTAACATCTAACACAAAAAGAACTATTCAGTTAAATTTCTATCCTCGTTCCTGGAAGTGATATTACAGCCTTCAAATGTGTACTGTTTAGTGCAGATTTAGAATTCAATCTCGAAAGGAAGAGGTTCTTTGGTGACAGAATATGGTATCAATGCCATTCCTCTGTCTGGTTTTGCATAATAAATTCTTGATTCGAGTTCTTGATCACAAAAACCATACGGAAAATTAGTGTTTTAGTAACCTTAATGCTGACCAAACGAGTATGTTGCATTTGACAGTAAGACATGGAGATAGTTGGCTAACTTAGATAAATATTTTGTCAGATTTACAGAATCAAGAAATGACAGTTCCAAGAATGTTCTTTTAAAACTGCAGCATTTCATCTAAAATTATTATATAAACTGACATTAGATTTCATGCTGTTTCATATGGCACATGGCTGCATGTGATGTAGGAACCAGGAAAATATAATATAGAACTAAGGCCAAAGTATGTGCAGATCATGGACAACACAAAGAACTGGATCAAAAACACAGAAACAAGAAAGAAGAAGATTTACCCCTCCTCTATCCTTCCTAAATCCATATCATTGATTATGGTCATGATCTGTCTTTCACATGCATAACTTGTTTTGAGGACTTGCTTCTGCTTTTCTGATGTCGTTATAGCCTCAAGGAGTTTGTGGGTATGTCGAACACCACTCAAGGGATTTTTCATTTGTTGTCGTAGGTAAGCCAACTCTTTAAGTTTCTGAGATCTTTCCATGTCCTCTTGCCTAGGCCCTTCTAAGGCCTGATGCAGGTCAGGTTCCACAATCTGCAAGAAGCAGAAACAGCCAATTATATTCCCATCTGAATCAGTCCTTTTGTTTGCTGCTAAGAACCCTTCCACAAGTTTCCCTTTCTGATCAAAAAAGCCAAATGGAAACTTCTTTGTGTCTTGACCACTAATTCCTTGATACAATAGAGTCTTAAACTTTGTTAGACTATCTTGACCTTTCAGTTGACATAGATCTCCAAAAATTTCTCCAGGTAGCATTTTGCCTATGACCTCCTGCCTTGTCCTGCCTGTCAGCTTTTCCATGGAAGCATTCCATTCACAACAGCATGCATTTCCATCAGAAGCAAATATTGGTGGAATTAGTGGATTAGGACTTTGTATGATGGCCTTGTAGTCCCCTTGCAACCGGATAAATTTATCCATGGCAACTTTCTCAAATGTGATGTCTTGACCAACAAAGCCCACCCCTACGATATCATTTGTGTAGTTCCTACTTGAGCAGGCATTGGCCACAATATATACAACTGAGTTTTGCTGATGAAGTCCAAATTTCCTTAGCTTTAACTCAACATTTTTGTCTTCCTCACCTGGACAATGTACAAGTCATTTTATACTTCATGCTAATTGTGATAAATTAGAACTCAAAATAAAAGCGTATCAGGACTAAGATGAGTTTAAAGAAATATAAAAAGAAATTAACATCAAAGAGCTCAACACAGAGTCATGCCTAATATCTTTTCTAGCTAGAATGATATCTAACCGGATAAGGAAGAACTTGTGTTGTAGATAATGTTCAGGTCGGTGAGATCAGAACAAACAATAAAGAAGAAGAAAGTTCCAGGCAATTCCCCATTTCAGTTTCCTCAAGAGTTCACGAAGCAATCTTCAAACAACCAATTTGACATAAAACCTAATGCAACAAGCTCTATTGCCATCATATTAATTTTCAGAAAGCCAATTTCAAAAACTAATTTAGGAGTGTTGAATTTGGTAGGCACCAAGCAGCCAACATCAGATGCTGCAATAAATGACTTTCTTGACAACCACGGACAGCATAAGAAATGAATCCATTCCTTAATTTTTTTTCAAAAAGAAAAGAAAAGAAAGAAAGGTGAGGGAGTTAATTCTCGATGGTTAACTATACCACGAATACCATAACTGTAACCCAATATGGAAATGCCATTTAATTCTGGTTCAAGGACACTGCAATGCAAGGGTACAAGGAAGGCACAGAGTTCAAGACTAAGTTAGATATCATGTAGCATTCAATGGTTATTAACTGACCAATGCAATTGAAAAAAATTACCTTGCAAAGCTTTGTGTAAAAGATTTTCACTAGCTCCGCGTGAATCCTCATGGACAATTTCTTGAACCAGAGACTTTCCCATTGCTTCACTGGCTTGTAATCCAGTCAATTCAGCAATTTTGACATTCCATCCGTTGATGAGACCAGCTGAATCGACCCCAAAAATTGGTGCTGTTGCTGTCTCAATCAGCCTAACCATTTCACATGCCACTGATCTGAGTTCATTTATCCCCTGCATCTCAGTATCAGTCTGCTGTGAATAAACCAATGGCTTCGAGCTGCTGTCCTCTATATTCGGAAATGAATTTCTCATTATGAGCTGTAAAGAGTGAATTGCATTAATTTCTGAAACCTCCCAAACCAGACTTCTGCTTTTAACCACCTCCAGAAAAGCTTTAAATGACGATCTTGGATGCATTTCCCCACCACCATCCTTATCTTCCGAGGATTGCTTGGCTCCACCCCACTTGACTTCCTTGGCAGTGTGAGACCTGAACCAGAACAAGAAATCTTTTGAAGTGATTCTGGCAGCAGCCATGCCACAAACAGCATCATCAAGTAAAGCAGCACCTGGGCATCCAGCAGCTGTCAAGCTCTCAGTACTCAGCCCAGTAGAATCTCCATGATTGTCGAGCAGCCAATCTACTATGTCTTTTACCTGTGATTCAGTTGGAGTTACACCCAGCAACCAACATTTTCCTTTGTAGTATAGTGCTGCTCCATCACACTTAACAATATCCATAATGCTAGGAGTTTGAGTCACAATACCCAATGGAGCATCCCTGAGAAACATGTCGCATAATAAAGTTTGCGTCTTAAGAATATTCTTCTCCACCAATTGTGCTGCCAATTGAAGCTCCATGTAGAGGTGTAGCCCAAAAGCCTGTATGAGGAATTCACATGCATATCTGAGCGGGAAAGGGATGTAGCGGGGTGAAGTGTGGTGGCACACCACTAGCCCCCAGAGCTTTGTCGAATCATTATCATTTATGACAACTGCCATAACCAATGAAGCAATGGACCCCATATTAACCATGTACTGTGTGTGGCATCCATAGGGTGCTCGAAGGGTTGAATTGACCAGAGAAAGAGGCCTCTTCAATTCCTCACTTTGAATGATCCTAACTGGATTGGAAAGGCAATCACATATCATTCTAACACGATTTTGCTTGAACAAAAAACGAACTACTTGAGGTATGTCTGTAGCAGGATAATGCAAACCCAAGTAAGGTTCTAAATCTGACCTCCTGATTTCTGACACAATTTCACCATGATCATCATCATGGAACTTATAAACCATCACCCTGTCATAGCCAGTAAGTTTCTGAACATCCTCTACAACAGTATCACACAGCACACCAATATCTCCACCGAAGAGTGACTGCAGCCTAGAAATCGCTCGCACAGCTAGTTTATGCGACTGCAAAGCACTAGCGGAAGATAGAGTAGGATCACCTGAACTTGCAGGTTCCAAATCAATCACAATTCCCACATCAATCCTATGCAGTATAGCATAAAATGCCTTTTGATTATTCCTGGCATAAACCAAAATTGGGTTTAAAAAGGACATCTCCCTAGAAGCAGCAGCTTTCTCCAATGAAGCTGCTGAAGGATGTGTAAATAGAGTTCTTCCATCAATCCCAATCAAACCCTTATCTTGTTTGGACGCAAATTCATTATTCAAATGCAAACCCAACAATTGAAAGCAATTTTCACTGTAGCCAATGATTTTAAAATTGGGTTCTTCAATAGCAAGCATACAACCAAAAGATTGAACAAGACCACCCCTTTGAATTCTCGAAAGACAAGCAGCTATTTGCTCGTCAGGTACAGTTTGTGGAGCAGAAGGAACTGATCTTGAATAGTTAAATGACTTACCAGAAATAGCAGATTGTTCAAACTCAGCTAAAAGGCCAGCATCTGCATTATACTGAGCAATAGTAGTATTCGTTAAGGGTATCATATTGCTTGCAGCAGATGATAATAGAGATGTTGTGCCTCTTTCTCTGTTGCTTTCCAATCCCATTTTATCAACTCTGGTTGACGGTGATAGATTTTTTTTAATAACACATCATGAGTGTGTCATCATCTCTGATTGAAGGTGATGGAATTTTGTTAATAACACATCGGTGGTGTGTGTCTTCAACTTGGTTGACGGTGATGGAATTTTCTTAATACCACATGGGTGTGTGTTGGTGTTCGTGAAAATAAGAATGTAGCTCGAAACTAGGTAGATGTTTATCATCAGTCAGTAGTAACTGAATGTCTATCGTCAATGTACCTGCTTGCAGCAGCTTATGTCGATCACTGTTGATGCTTCCTTCGTAAATCAGTACAGCTTTTTTTGTTTTTTTGGTATAATTTTTTGTTAGTGGTTTCTAATCAATTCTCTTTAGATTCTCAACTTGTTTGCGCACTCTATTTAGACTAAATTATAATTTTTTTTTAATTTTGTAAAACGAATTTTTATTTTAAAAATTAATTAATTAGACTTTTACCTAGTATTGATAGTGATTGTTTTAATATTTTTATTTTTTAAAAAATATTATTTTTCTAATCAATCTTTTTATATTTTTACTTATTTTTATATTTTTTCTATTTTTTTAGAAAGAAAAAAATAAAAAAAGTGTGAAAATAATGTGTTATAGATAGATTTTAAAATACAGGAGATTGATTTATTAATTATTCGTGAGCTATTATAATTATAAAACAAATTAAAACAAAACACTCAATTACTGTTCAAACACTTTTCACATACTCACATTTTACTATTCATAAATTTACAAATCATTATTCTTTTCACTATTCGTGATTTTTTTTTAACACTTTGATCCTCAATTTTTTTTTATATTTTTTTTCTCAATTTCAAACCTTAATTGTATTATGATTTGGTCTCATTTTGTTTTAGTGTTTTTTAATTATTTTTATTTTTAAAATTTATTACTTTAATTTGTCTTTTTTTAAAAAAAATTCTCATCCAATTAATTTAAAATTATATGGTCCTCAAATTTTCTATACATTTTTTTTAATTTCAAACTTTAATTGTATTGTAATTTGGTCTTATTTTTTTTTAGTGTTTTTTATTGATTATTTTTATTATTTAAAATCTATAACTTTAATTTGTCATTTTTTTCAAAGTCTCATACAATTAATTTCAAATTACATTTAATGACAGTTTTAATTTATTTTAATATTATTCATTCTTTTATAAATAAATATATAAAAATTAAATTCATATTTTTTTCAAAAATCGATATTCTCATCAACATTAAATAAAAATAAAAAAATTATTTATTCAATTCTATGTGAGCTTTTAATAATTTTTTCCAATACAATCTTGTGAAATATTAAAGCTTTATAAAAAAATTTAATTTATTTTTCTTTAATTTGTCTTCTTTTTTTTTAAATTTTCATCTAATTAATATAAAATTATATGATCCTCAATTTTTCTATACATTTTTTTTTTAATTTCAAATTTTAATTGTCTTGTGATTTGATCCCATTTTGTTTTAGTGTTTTTTCTAAGTATTTTTATTATTTAAAATTTACTACTTTAATTTGTCATTTTTAAAAAAATTCTCATCCAATTAATTTAAAACTATATTTACTTATAGTTTTGATTTATTTTAATATTATTCATTCTTTTGTAAATAAATATATAAAAATTAAATTCACATTTTTTTCAAAAATTGATATTCTCATCAACATGAAAAAAAATATTTTTTTAATTTTATGTAAGCTTTTAGTGATTGTTATTTTTGTTTTTTGACACAATCTTATGAAATACTCATGCTTTTTTTAAAGAAAAAAATATTTAATTTTCTTTTTAGTTAATAATCCATGGATTAAAAAGCATAAATATTTTTTGTGAAGAAAACATTATGAAAAATACAAATAAAAAATAGTTAAATACAAAATTTTTTATTTAAAAATTATAAATATGGTTTTTCACTTTTGATTTTATATATTTTATAGATTCACACTATAAAATAGACTATCAAACTGAAATGATCTTTCTAAATAATTTTATATATTTTATCCAATCCGTAGTGTAACGCGGATAAAAAATCTAATCCTTTCTTTAGAAGAATAAGGTTTTTTTTTTTTTTCTCTCGAGTCTTGTGGAGACCATTTACATTTAGATTTATGTATTTGGAAAAAAATTCTCTCGCAATCTCTTTTGGAATTCGAACATCTTATTATTAAATAGGAAATAAACCAATACCTCGTAATTCATGGACTCGGTTGAAGTATTTTTCATTTGCTCCGTTAAGATATTAAGCAAATCAAAGAACGTTATGTTTATATTTATACACCAATTTGCAAAAATAAGCAACACAAAGCTGCATTGATAATTTTCGAAGATTCAATATTAACTGATCATGATCAATGATAATTATAAAAGGCTATAACAAATAATGGGGTTTATGATATTTATTCAAATAATTTCACTATCATCCTTAAAACGCTTTCTCAACCCATAAGAAACCCTTCCTAATTTAACCAATTTGATTGATTTGGTCCGTACAACATAAACTCGGTTTAAGGAATCCTCTTTGCTAATATACCTCCTCCCTTTCCTTTCCTTTGAAAAGGAAGAAGAGCGATTTACTAGTAGCTACATGACTTTCGAGTCTTGAGAATTTCACGAGCATCCTTTTTATGCCGAAGATAATGGATAAGGTGGTATTATATTTCTATTGCCGAGAATGAATGCATTTCCTTTCTTCTTAAGGTTAAATATGTGCCACTTGTCTTTGAATTTTATTTCTTATTCCTCATCCATTTCTTTCACTCGTTTTTTTAATTTAAAGATTCGCTCGTACCTCCAAGGCTCCAACAAAAATCCTACCATATTGATGACCAACCATGGCAACACGCCAACATCATCACCAATAAATAAATAAATAAATCTATAGACCATAAAAAAATAAAAAAACTCTAAATCTCTTTTTGTTTGACGGAAAATAATTTTCAATAGGAAAAAGTAATTCGAAGAAGCTATTTTTCATAAAGTTATTTTTCAAAAAAATATTTTCTAACGTTTGACAATTATATGAAAAACTACTAAAAATATATTCAAGTGTTTGTTTGATACGGAAAACTTGAAATACAAAAACATGATGTGATTGTTACATATATGAGTTTTGAGGGAATTTCAACAAGACATATTCACAATCTTACAATATAAAGATTGTTAAAAGATCACGCATTCATAATAGTCCATATATAAAAAGCTATCAAAACAAAGTATATGGGTTATCGATATGTTGGTATACTAAAACAGAAAGCATTAGTTATAATCAAGAATATATCGAGACAAAGACCTATAGTGCTGAAATATCATTTGAACCATAATTTTTTTTTATTATTAGATGTAGGAAATATTTTAAAATCAATTTACAATTGAAACTAAATCTATTTTCGAAAGATTTTAAAAATATATTTTTAAAATCGATAAGTGCATTTAGAAAAATTTAATAAATTTTTATAAATACTAACTCTAAGATTTAAATTTAAAAAATAAAATATATATTTTTAGTCATCAAACCAATTCATCAAACTGCTTGGGACAAAATCAAGTCAATATTTATGTTTAGTAAAAAAAAAAAAAATTTAAGTAATCATAGCATTGTTATTTTGGTAACTCAATTAAGAATTCTTTTTTTTTTTTTTTTGAAAATTGAACTGATAATTTAGTCTAAAAAATAGTTTCACAAATTATTAGTTATCATTTATAGATAATTATTTATTTGATTTCAAAACATTAATATTTGAATAATTTTTAACTAATTATTGACTACAATTACTAACAAAATTTTACAATTGATTAAAATTAATCACAAATTATTGATTTTGTTGTAAATAAATAGTATTGAGAAAATAATATATTTATTAATGAATTAATTAGTTTTAATTTTTTTTAAATGAATGTAGTCTTGTAATAATCATTTTCAATCATTTAAGTATAGTTTAGGTGGTGTTTGCGATAATGATAAAAAATAGAGATAAAGTATTGAAATATTTATTATAAAAATAATTTTATGGTGTAAAAATGATTTTTAACAATATTTAATATATTTATAAATCAAAAAATCAATTGTCGGTAGAAATAGAGAAAAAATAATTAAATAATTAATAATACTTGATAAGAAATAATTAAAAATTAATTTGATATATTTTAAATAAAAAATGAGATAGAGAAAAATATTGTTAAAATACATCAAGAGAAAGGCGAGTAACGCGAGAGTAAGACAACTTGTGAGAGAAAAGAAAATATTTTCTTCTTTTTTAGTTAGAAAGTCACTTTTCTAGAAATAGTCTATTAATTTTCGTTAACTAGAAATCAAATTTTGTTAACTTTTTTTCTAAACGCAAAACAAATATAAAAAAATGAGAAAAAATGGAGAAAACAAGTTCCCGAAACTTATTTTCTTCGAAACAAACACAACCTAAGGCATACTTGTTAATCTCCTAATAATATGTTCGGATACGACAATGGATTCTTTAACAAAAAAAACCTCGGAATTTAGGGAAGAAAAGAAAGAACTAGAAAAAAGAATATACTTCTATTGTATTCAATAAAAGAGTCAATTATATATATATATATAAACATACATATTGTTAACTCCTAAATTTTTACCCACCTATTTTTTTTTTTAATTTGTGAGTTAAAAGAAAATAAAAAAAAAGAGAAAAGAAAAAAAGAGTCATTTGGAAAAAAAATAATTTTTAGGTACAATTAAAGAAAATTAAAAGAATAGATCTTGATTAATTTCAATTATGGAAGTGTAATTGAAATGAAAGCAAGTAAAATTATATCAAAATTGATAAATCTAGAGGAACTAGGACTAAAACCGATGTTTTTCAAATTTTAATTTCTCCTTATAAATATCCCAAACCAAACAACCTCTAAAAGAAAGAAAAAACAAAAGGAGAGAGGAACCCGACTCACCCAACTAG